TACGGAGAGAAAAGACTATGGGGAGATTATTGAAGAAGAGGACTTGAGGGTACCTATCAAGTTTTGTCTGTCTGTCTGTCTGTCTATCCATCCGCTGACACCACTCGTGGTCTCGAGCACAGAACAGCCAACGCCAGCGGCAGCGCCATCAACGCCGAATATCGTGTCCATTCACTATCCCATACCTTCCACTTGGATATGGATACACTTCCACAACCCAGGCAGTATTTCTCGCGCGTGCTCGTTTCCTAACTCTGATAGCTCTGGCCAGGTTCTACCCCAGTGTGTGTGTGCATTCCGCCAGTCCACTATATGTCGTGGTGACAAAGGTCCCTGTGAAAGCCTCTCAATTGCCAATTGCCGTGTGTATCTGACTCGGCCACAACCACCACAGCTGACAAACTCCGACAGAAGGATATGAGGCCGCAACGGGGGAAGACTCATCTCCGATCCCGACTGCTCGAGGACCCACTGCCCTTACTACCGACATAGTGCTTGGATTGAGTCGATGTATGCGACGAAGAACCAGACCTCATCCCCGCGACCGAGGCCGAGACGCCCATCTCTGGCTTGGGGTCGTTCAACGACGTGGGATTCTGATCAACCGACGACGTGCTGGCGTATTCCGACCCGCAATTGCACGAGTAGTGGTCGGACTGGTTCCCGCAGTACGCACACTTTGGCATTTTGGAATGCTTGCGCGGATTTGGGGTGGTTGGATGTTGTCTGCTCGACGTCCTGTTCTTCTCGAGGATCTGCGTGGTCGAAGTATATTTACTCTCGCCGGGTTGTCTCTTTCCCGTGGGTTTCCTGACGGGCTTGGTACACGCGTTGTTGTACGGGTGTGAGTATGAGGAGAAAGGGGAGAGATGGAATCCAGCGCCAGACGCGGATCGGCTTTTATACTGGTCGTCCATTCTTTTTTTATCACTGGTATTCGTTTTGCGATGTTGGCTTGTTTGGCAAGTGTCGATTGTTCGCTGCTGCTTCGAGGTGACAACGATCCTGATGGTCGAGGCAAATGCAAGTGTGTCGTGTTCGTGACAAAAAGTGTACACACACCACAAGACAAGAACCGTGACAGCAAAGAAGGATCCTAGGACATGAACCCGCAGTGGCGATGACGATTGTATTATGGCGAGTGTGAAGTTCGACGGTGGAGGCGAGGTGAAAGAGTGCGAGTTCGATATATCAATCTATCCAGCAGCACTTCTTTCCCCCTCAAACATACGAGATGTGCGCCGTCCACCTGTTATACCAGCGGGTAATGACTGACTGATTGATTTGACGACTCGAGAATCCGTACCCAGCGATAGCGGGAGCGAGAGTGAGGGCGGTGAAAATGTCAAACATCACGAAGTCAAGAGTCCACTCGGGACACTGCCTTTTGTGTGGGAGAGGCGAAGATGCGGTTTGAGGATACACAACGGCTCGACCATGGCGAGGGGAGGTGGGAGGCACCGTGTCACTGTCACTCTCAAACGTCGGGACGGGACCATTTCCTTGCCTGCGATCCCTCCTCCCCTTCCCCCCCTGGCCCTGTCAGGACGAGTTGTGGTCGGTCGGTTTCAGTATCTTCCCCCTCTCTCTGTCTGCTTCTCGAAAAATCCGCGAGCCGCTGCTGTGTCACCTTCGTGCCGAAGACGAATGACGAACGACAAAACGACGAACGGCGTACGGCGTACGGCACGACCTGCCCTTGTTTGCTTGTCAAACAAATCCTCGTTCTCTGAGGTGGTACCTCAGCTCTCTTTCCCCAATACCTTGTACCCAGATACGTGAGGTATCGGTAATGGGACCGTCAATCCAACCCAATTTGATCGATCTGGTCCTGTCCAACGACCAAAAGGTCCGTCAACCTAAACGACGGCATGGCGAATAGATCTCGGATCTCAATCACTCTGTGTGTGCGCGCACACACGAGAGTGGCCCTTCCGTCCGCCCGCCCGTCGATTGCTACTTAGGTAGTTGATGTGGTGTGGTGTAGGTACCACAATCGATTCGATTCGATTCGATTTCCAAACTCTCGGTACTAGTGTGCGTGTGTGACACATTTGAATCGCCTCTCGGGTATCGGTTCTCTGGGGACGACGCTCGCCAGCTGAAGTAAGATGTCCATTTGGAAGCCGAGGCGAGGGTTGGAATATGTTGTCAGAGTCGAGACCGTCGAAGTTGGTGCTGGTCCAGAGAGGCGAGCGGTCAGCCTGTGCACGCGTAGCTATCGGTCGAGCAAAGGTATGTGTCCAGGTGTCAATGGTGTGGGACTACCTACCTATGTATGATTGGGAAATATGACTTTGTGTGCTCTCCAACCCTAAGGATCACAGGAAGTGTGGAGTGGACTTTGACGATACCCAGCCAGTATCACCGCCGAGTGGCTCAGAGTGACGAGGCGGTGCCGACACTGGCGACTGGGAATGCCCTCAGGTATGTTGTGCCAAAGACATGTCGGGTCTGCCCTCGTCTGACTGACTGATGTGTCTCGCAAACGAAAGAAATTCCAATTTTCCCTTTCTCCATCCTATACACACCGCTTTGTCAACGACCGTGGAACATCCAGTGAGTGGCTCCTCGGACAAAGGCGGTGTGTGAATGTGTGTGGGAGAGCAAGAGAGGAAAAAAAAAAGAGAAAACAGCTTCATACAACGATAGGACACCCAACCGCGCCCTCCAACAAGGTAATCAACTCTCTCACGTCGCCCAGCGTGTCCAACCCCAAAACACACTTTTCGATCCGCTCCCTTCGCTCCTCGTCGAGCAAGTCCCGCACCAGCATGCGCCATTTGGAGACAATATCCTCGTCGGTCGCCGGGGGCATGATGCCCTTGGGACCCTCGACCGTGGTCTCGACCGTTTCTTGGCTTGAAAACCGCACCGTCACCACGGTCCGCCACCCCTTGCGCCGGTCGCTGTCAAACTCTGGGTTGTGCGTCGGGGTGATTTTGGCCATGAGCGCGCGCAGCTGAGGGCGGTTGAGCCGGTCGGCGCCGAACTGCGCCATCAGCACCGTGCGGTCGACCAGCTGCGCCGCGGCCGCGTACTGGATCGACATCTGCGCGGCCGTCGGCGTCAGTGGCTTGTCCGGCGGGGCGGTCCAGCCGCCGTGCTCAAAGGCCGGCTTCGAGTGCTGCGTCGTGATGGCCTCGATCTTGTCCAGGTTGTCGGCCGCGAAGAGCGACTCGTGCTCCCGCTGCAGCTTCTCGATGCAGTCGATCGTCCCGTGCAGCGCCGCCATGGCCGCGTGCAGCTTGATCCGGATCCCCTGCAGTTCCCACCTCTCGCCGAGCCCGCTGACCAGCTCGTCAGGGAGGGACTTGGGCGTGAACTTGGTCACTCCTTCGGAGAACATGGATAAAAACCCGCCGTACGGCGTCTCGTAGACCTCCTGGATCCCCGTGTACCCTTCCTTGGCGAGCAGGGCGGCAAAGAGCCCGTTGCGCGACGCGAACCCGTGTTGCATGCGTTTCGCCATGGAGCCGAATTGCGCCGACATCAAGCCTCCCGCTTGTGTGCAGGCTATCCCCAGCGCGGACTCCACGTACCCAGGCGGCAAGCCCAGGAGGGAGGACACTGCCGCGGCAGACGCCGAGGGTCCTTGCACGGCGCCCGAGTGCCAGCCACGAGAGAGGAGGTCGGCGCCATGCAGGGCCAGTCCGACTCGAGGCCCGACTTCGCAGCCGACGATAAACGCCTTGAGGTAGTCCTGGCCCGAGAAGGTGCGCGAAGTGTCGGCCTCGACGGCGGCGAACAGCGCAGGGATGAGAATGGAGCACGAGTGCAACGGCGCCGTGGAGTGGTAGTCGTCGAGCTCGAAGCCCTGGATGAAGGTGCTGTTCAAGATACTCGCTGCGAGCGGGGACAGTTTTTTGTTGACGCCACCCCAGCCGATGACGGTGCATTGGCCCTCGGGCTCCATGTTGAAGATGGCGCGCGCCGCGATCTCGGACCACGGGAGGTGCGCGGCGACCAGGCCGCAGGCGATGCCATCGAGGATCAGGTACTTTGCGCGCCGCACCACGTCGTCGGGGATCGAGTCGATGGTGGTGTCGTGGATCCAAGTGCACAGTCTGCCCGTGATGCTGGACGGGTCGCTCACGGCGGTAGGGTCGTGTGATGTCTCGTCCTGCTTTGCCGTCGCCTTTGAATGAGGAGACATGGTGCCTCGGGTATCTCTCCTGTGGCTGTATAATATGACTTTTGAACCGAGTTATCGAGTTGTCAATGAATTTCACAAGGAACCTGGAGTGGACGTAGGCGTAGTCTTAGACCACCACTGCACTCATCCAAGGAAGATCCGCAGAGACAAACCCTAAGAATATATACTTCCCGACACGGTATTCCCCATCCCGATTCTTCATTCGACACTCCCTTGCTCACTTACTCATTCACTCACCCCAGCCCTGGCCTTGGTCCTAGTCCTGGTCCTAAGCCCGAGCTTGGACCTGTACCTATGCGACAAAGGGAACGAACATGGTGGTGCAACATCAGATTCACCACGCTCCACGACACCACGCACCACGGCACCATGCACTACGGACATGCATGAATGGAGCTGTCCTCCTGAAAACGGCCCGGTACCGGTGGTGAGAGGGACGATACAGTCAGTAGGGGGCCTGGCGTGTGAGTACGATGTATAGTTTAACTGAAAGGGGCAAAGAAGCGTCTCGTGCCAATACTGCGTCCGAGACAGGAGCTGGTGGTGGCCTTGATGCCGTTGAGAACAATGTCAAAGGACTGAAGTGTGGAGGCTGAAAGTGCGGGTCTACGGAGCGGAGGAATAACGTGCCGAAGCCGATTTTGGTCGACAAGTCCGATTTGGCATTCTATACTCCGAGGTGGTGGTTACGACCGAATACCTCGCAAGAATTGAATTGAATTGGGTCTGCTTGGGCCCGTAGATGGACATCCCTCTCATGAACCCTGCTACTATACTGATCGGGATGACTTACATCATCATCCAGGTCTAGTTTGATCTTTCCTCCACAACAACAGGAGACATCTCAGCCGCACTGGCTCGGTCCAAACGCCGCTTTCTCCAACCCATCCCTTTCTTCTTGATACACCACAACGCCACCCCGCCAATAGTGCCACTCCCATAACCCCAGGACGGTAAAGTACCAGCCTCTCTCTGCGGCGTCGAATAGAGGTTGCAACACTGCGACGCCTGCAGCCGCCATGGCACATCTCGTGATACTCGCCGCGGCGGCGGCGGCGCTCGGACCTTGCGGAAATACATCGACCAGCAACGTGTTGTAGACGGTGTAGAAACACGTCCCCCAGAACCCCTGCATGAACTGCAAGATCAGCAACACGGATACGTGGACGTGGTAATGTACAGCCCAGCCGTATCCGACGAGGCCAGCGGTGGAAACGAGCAGGAGCCAGCCGCTCCCGCGGGCGCGAGCTCGTTCGATCGGAAACTCCCTCAGTTCGTCACCTGATACACTGTCGATACTCCAATTGATCTGCCTAGCTGTGGCTTTGTAGTTGAAATCCATGACCCTGCCAATGAAATAACCGCCCACGATGATTCCGACGGCGCGCGGCAGGTATGTCAGCCCGATCTGGAGCTCATTGAAGCGATAGATCTGTTTGTAGATGTCCGGGATGGCGGCAACAAGCGAGTAGTCCACCGTGTAGAACGATCCATGCATCCAGAGCACGAAGAAAGTATCGAGGTGGAAAATGATCCGCAGGCAGGTGAGTGGGTTGCTCATCCGTAGCCGCGAGACCGACTTTGGATACGATGGCGATCCCGGATCCTCGTCTGGCCTTCCTCGCGAAGACTCACGCCCTCTTTTCGCGCTCCTCCTTAGCAGGTCGATTGGAGTAAGTCGCTGAATCATACGCAACCACGTCCATTCCCATAGTGGTAGGCTTGCTCGCTGTGCCCCATTGCCCACAAGCGATCGAGCTGTCTCTGGTAAGAAGGTTCCGACAAAGAATAAAAGCAGCCCGCCCACAATGACAAGGGCCCAAAAGATCCATTCGAAGCTGCCGCTGGAGTATGAGACCCATCCACCGACCACTGGGCCAATACAAGCCCCAAGGTTCAACGCCATGCTCACTGGTCCCAGCATCCTGCCCCTTTCACTCGGCACACAGACATCCGCAACAACACCAAAGCTGATGGCGTAAGCGGTACTTGCTCCCAGGCTCTGGATTGCTCTCAATCCCAGCAAGACCCCGTAGTGGTTCCTGTTAAGAGCTAAGCCCAGGTTCGCCGCCGTGTACAGTGACAGGGTGAATAGGTATGCCGGTCTCCGGCCCATGTTGTCCGACAGTGGTCCGATCACCGCCGGAGAGATTGCCTGGAAGATGACATAGATTGTCAGGGTGAGATTGATGGCCTGTGTAGTGGTGTGAAAGTGCTCTCTTAGAAGAGGCAGAAGAGGAAAATATATCGTAGCTGTCAGTGGGGAGGTGATGGTAGCAAATCCAAGGAGTGCAATGAGCAATCGTTTCTGGTTAGGCCCAAAGACCGTATACGTGACAGGTGCTGTCTCGACGACGGGCTTTGAGCCATCTTCGACATTCTTTTTTTCCATGGTTTCCCTGGTCTAGTAAAGGTGATGATAACAATGATTGTCGCGACATGTCAGCCAGTTCGAAGAGACCGGGTTGCTCTCTGATAAGTAGAAGGCAACCGCAAGTGTTATCCCACAGGCATTGTGAGTCTTTTCAACGTTGCAGTCACGCTGCTCGAGGAAAAAGAATGAGGCTCCCTGACTGTAGCAGATATGTTGATATAAGGGAGAGAGGGATTGGTGTGGGGGTTGGTATGCAATGATCTTCCTCCATCAACAAAACCTGGTGGGTGCTGAAATATTCCAAGGGGTACAAGAGGAGTGTCTCTATACATAATGCACCTCGATAAATATGAGATCCCGGTTCCTCTGTCAAGGAGTCAGACCTCAGAGCAACAACAGATGTGTCGCTTCTTACATTCATGCTGGACGACCACTGTGAGCCTCACTGGCCACGGCTTTAAAACCCGATACCAATCAGATTGCTCCTGATCGTCACGACATTGCCTTCCTGGATACAGAGCAAGGTCCCTTCTGGCAGGATCAAGCTCTGTTCTAGACCTTCAATGCTCGTCCAGTCTCTTGGGATGAAGTAGTGACGCCTAACATCCATGTCCGCTTGTCGAGTGAGGTCGACCGAGCACAGCCAAAAGTCACAATCGAAGAAGATTAGCTGCTCTCCTGCTAAGATTCCCAAAGGGATTTCAAGGATCTCCACAAGATCGCTCCGGACCTCCATGCACTCGAGGATCGCTTCCTTGCCCAGATTGATAGCTGCATCCATTGCCTTGACCGGTAGAACAAGTAGTTTTTTCTGAGGCTTACTTCCAGGGATGCTTTCTCTGAGATATATGAGAATATGCTTGCCGTCCTGTGTGAAGATGGCCTTGCTGATCTTCATAGCTGGTTCCTCTCTTGAGTCTGATGATTCATCCGGAGCAAGATTATGGGTTGTTTCGTCCATCGGAGGAGTAAGTGTCGGCTGCCTGGCCAGAGATAAAAGGGTACTACTGAATTTGATCTGGTACATCTGCTGTAAGCTGGACCATTGAAATACCCTGATATATTCAGGCCCAACTCCCAAGAACAGGTCATGGTTGGTAGGCTGATTGAACCAACTATGTTGAGCAGCCCCGATCATGGGAGCAGAAATCTTTACGCAGCAGTCATGGATACTCCACAGTTGAGCAAGCTTGTCGGTAAGAACAAGCAGCATTTTCGACGAAAAGTCCACTAGCATTTGGTGTACTGCGCCACCTCCGAGGCTCAGCTTTGGCCGTTGGAAGAGTTGAACACGTGTATGCTTGAGTTGACTGGAGGTACTGTTGTCGATCTGCAATATGCGGACATCGGCTGTGAGGTCGGCAACAACAATCATGCCGCCTCTTGGACTCCAGACCAGATGAGAAACGCATACAAGGTTGGGGAATCTTGTCAGTTCAATCTTGAATGTGTCTCGCACGTCCGCCAGATGAACCTCGCCATGATCATTGGCCGTCACATACCGTAGGCCATCTGGAGCTGAAGAGATGGCGATAAGACTTGGGGATTGTGTCACTTTCACTTGGCGTACGCTGCACATCGCTGTCCCTTGCTTCTCACAGAGAGGGCCGCCGAAAGCCTCGCCCGGCCCTGAAAGCTGAGCCAACCCACCGGGCTCCCATGCAGTGATAGTCGATCCCCGGATATCATAAAACCGCTCGGAATCCGGGCTGAAGGATAAACCACTGATCAAGTCTCCCGAGGAAAGTTGGTATGTCACGGTGAAAGACGCAAAGTCCCAAAGCTGGACAATCCCGTCACTGTTACTCGTCACAAATAACTTCCCATTCGGACTGCAAACCAATCCGTCGACACAAGCTGGGACTTCGTGAGTCTCATCTGTGACGGGGTGCCACTTGAAAAGGTTGTTGCCCTTGTACCAGCCAATGATGTGACCAGTGACAGGATTCCAGTTGAAGAATTCCACGGGAAACCAAGTTGGTGAGGAGACTGACGCAGGATTTGAGTGAACGACCGGCCTCAAACACCGACGAATGATCGTAGCTCTGTTCAAGTCCCAGACCGTCAGAGGGAATGACCTATAGCAGACTCCGATCTGTGTACCACTTGCATTGAAAACCACGCAACTCGGACTATTCATGATGACCAAGTCGGGTCGAGGATTCTCTTTGAGTAGAGACCCATCAAGGACTTTCCACGCCGCACCATCCTCCGCAATCTCCAAGAACCTGACCACACTGTCATCTGTTGCGGCCAGGACGCGCTGGTCATTCATTGCAAATGTAAGCGACATTGCTCTGCTATTTCCTATGTTTGGCACTCGAAGACGCACGGTGCCCGCAGGGACGTCCCAGACGATCGTTGTGTTCAGGCCGTAGGTTACAAGCATGTCACCCCGGTGGTTCATACACATATCTACCACAGCTTCACCATGGCGGAGTGTGCATATCCCTTTAAAATCGGTGGAGCTCCATACACGCGTAATACCGCCTCTTGTAAGCACAGCGAGGTGAGCACTGGTTGACACGATCTTCAAGGCTATCTCGTCCTGAGAAAGTGAGAATCGCCCAAACACGTCTGTCCACGACTCATTTTGACCGGTTATCGTGATCTTTGGGCCCTTGCACTGTCGGAATTGGCGGTTGATCATTGAAATTGGGGGAGACAAAGCTGGAATTATCTCATAGATGGCATACGGCTGCGTCGTGAGATACCGTGTAAATTTTGCTGCTATCCTCATCAGGTCTGTCCCCCAGTTCCCGAGGAGCTCAAAGGTTGGCAGTCGATGGTCCATTGAAATCTTGCGCCCGTGGTTGCTGGTAACAAACTTCAACAGAGCGCTTCCGGCTCTAGCCAACGCGCCGACTTCGTCTTTGACAGTGAGAATGTAGATCCAATCGAGCACATTGGGACCGCCGAAAAATGTGTCCAGTGCTCTAAGTGCCTCCTCGGAAACAGAATCGGCATATTCAAGGTAGTGGAACCACGAGTTGGCAGCATAAAGTGAGAACGGATGCTGAGCTTCAAGCTCCATTCGGATTGACAGGCTCCCCTTCGCACCGATGGCCAAAGCGCGAGTAGAAGGGTTACTGATGCTGGAGAGACTTTTTATCAAGACAGCACTGCTGGCGCTTTGACGATCCAGTTCGCTGATCCCATTGAAATCATTTGTCAGGAAGTCGCGAGCAGTTTGGTGTATCATCATGACATGGTTTGTGTTGCTGATGAAAATGAAGTGGCCACAGACATCACGAACTGTCTTCTTGAGGTCTAAGATGTCGGGATATTCTTTGCTTATGCCGTCCCTTAATTGATCCAGGGTTAAAGGTTGTGGAGCACAAACCACCCACTGGAGCAACTCTTTTGCCAATTTGACTCTTCGTTTATTGTCATTCTCGGTAATCGAAAGCAGCATTTGTGAGTACATTTTCGTCATGTTCTCGGGTATTTGTTCCAACATGGCTCGAATCTCGCTTTCGGTTTGCCATTTGTACAGATTGTCGAGAACGATACTCACCCAAAGAAAGTTGCCGCTTGCCCGTTTCAAAATCTCCTGCCGAAGTCGCTCTCGAACAGCTGTGTTTCCAGGAAGGTGTTCAAGTTCTCTGTCAACCAAAAGCTTGATGTCGCCGTCGTTGTGGGTATGCTCATTCCCATCAATGACGTTGACTCTGAGAAGGCGCTCGACTTTTTTGATCTCCCATGCGAGTGCTTCTGTCCGCCGGCTTGTGACCAAGACCTTTATTTGAATTTGTGCCTTTGAAAGGGCTTCGGCCAACAATTCAACGATCGTCTGGGACGACTCTGACTCGTCCAGGCCATCAATGACCCAGAAAAGTGGGCGGGGAAAAGTTTTGCAGAACAGGAGAGTCTCAAACAATTTGTGCCATAGGAAGCGGTAGTCCTTCTCGTCGTAGCCAATATCTTCGGCACACGTCGTGAATATCTCCTCCTTGTATTCGGGCATAATCAAAGAGATTTGATGCGCCAGTGACCTCAACATCCCGCTTATCGATCGTCTCGTTTGGTCTCCAAAGTTGAAGAAATAGTACTGACAGTGGTGGCCTTCTGCTTGAAGATAGTGAATGACATAGCTCGAGAGGACCGACTTCCCATACGCCGGTGGTGCATTGTACCATATCAGATGAGAGTCGGAGGGGTTTGTGAGCCAGAACTGAGTTCTAGAATCCTGTAAGAACCATTCGCAACTTCCTGGCACCCAGCGCTTTCGGAGAGAGTTGAAATCCTCAGCAGGGGTGCGGGAGAGACCAAGAATCTTTTCAATGTTTTTTCTGGTGATCAGAGACCCGACATTAGGTGTTTGCAGGGCGCCATTCTCCAACTTCTCCACGAGATCTTTCAAAGTGTCCCTCACTATTCTATATTTTGAATCTTCTTCGCTATCGAATTTGCAAATTGTGTGGTGATCAGCGGGTAGTCCCCTTGAATCCTCGTTGATGTAGCCCAAGATGGCCGAGTCCCTCTGTACGATCATGAGACGCTTCCCAAGTATGGGTGTGGCATGCTCCTCGTAAAAAGAAACAATAGAGAGATTTGGGGCAACGTGACGAAATTGGTCGTTGATGTCCTCGATAGTTGATGAGTTTCGTTCCAGTTCTTTGACAAAAGATTTTTCAGGTTGGAAGGTGGCCCTCAATGTCAGGTTAAGTACCAGGCTCAGATTGGAACCCCGATGAGGCGTCGACAGAAACATGATGCCCAAGATTGATCGGGAAATCTTTGCACAGTTTTGATCATTCTGGGCCATCAGGTATGCTTTCTTGACGACCAAGCCACCCATGGAATGAGCAACAAACACGATGGGTGCCTCGCCGATTCTCAGACTGTTCACTCGGTTACCCCTGCCATATCGCATGTCGAATAATAGTGACCTTGCGAAACCCATGATATTCGACACACTTTTGGGCCCGAGCAATTGAGAATCATAACCATAAGTGAACAGCCTCGCTTTGCGGAGTTGAGGGTCGTTTGGGAGCCATAAACCCGGCCAGAAAAAGTCGATATTGCGGTCCTTGGACCAGGTTTTGTGACTGTGGCCACCGAGTCCATGTACAAAGATAATATCGGCGGTGGGTCTCGACTGTGGCTCATGGATAATATCGAGACCAAGGACATTGGCGCCATTTCCGGTCCTGGAGGGTCCCTGTGCATCATTTGTCCCAGGCGAAGCTCTAGCCGGAGGACATTTGGCAGGAATATTCGCAATAGATCCAGAATCCTCTCCTTGGGCGTTGTTTGAGGGAGAATCAACAGCCAGATTGTCTCCAGCGCCAGTTAAAGGCTGTCCCGAATGTTGGGTTGATTGCTTGCGTCGGTGGGAGAAACCGACACGTAGTTTTCCCAGCTAAAATTCAAGCTCTTAGCCACGGCTTTCAGTGCTAAGGGAGGATCAAATACCATTGGGGATCACCAGCCAACTGTTGCTGTTCTTTGCGGAGTGAGGAGACTTCTTGGTCTACTTCAAGTCTCAACAGTCGTAAGTCGATCGCAGTCATTCTTAAAATTGTGAGGACAGCGTTCGATAAGAGTGGCAGTGTATGAGAGACAGCAGGTGTGCGGCGGCTCAATATTTGCACAAGGCATATTTCGAGTGGAGGCCTGGAAGGCGACCTCAAGGCTATGTACCTGCCACGTCTGCATCGAGTGCAGGCGATCATCGGGCTAAGCATCGCCACTGGGAAAGACCCGTCACGTATCGGTATAGAGTTGTGAAACAGCCGATGGCCGCCATCGAGAGGGTATGTGAAGGATGGGTGGATAAGTATGAGTGGTGGGTACCAGAAGACATGGCTTCGCTGCGTACCATGTTTCGACGCATGGTTTTAAGCGCACTAATCATGATGTAATACTTCTGGAAGATGGTCGACAGTGAAATTTGCATTAGACTGTCTCGGAGGTCATGAGCGGCTGCTGGATGGGCAAGGATGGGTTGGAAGAGGAAATGGAAAAGGAGGCGCAGTTTCATCTTCCTGCGCTCGGCGGCTAAACTCGGAAATCCCGCCAGAATTAAAACTTTAGGATGACCACCGACCGCACAACTCTTGCTTGCTATGCGCCGTCAACTCTTTCGAGTTCTCTACACCGAGAGGATCAAGGACATGTTAGACTCGTCGAACGCAAGCGTTGACACCATGACGCTGGAGATGCCCACTTTCTGCCATCAGTCTGCCATGGTCAACCAGTTCTACGCCCTTCCCTTCATTCAACTGTCCATCGACTCCGTCCATCCAGAAATGTGGGTGCCTTGTCATGCTTACACCTAGGCCAGAAAACCCAGCATTGCCTAGATCAGACGAAGCGTAGAGGCTACATACCCATTCACCGTTGTCAAGTAGGTGGAATGTGAGTGAGAAGAATGCCGAATCGACGCAAGGAATGTCGGCAACAAAAAGAGGTCGAGATGGAAGAGAATGTCAATCAGAGGAAGTGCCAATCAGAACAGACAGCCCTTTTCCATATCGATCACCCATTACTCCTACTATGCTCTACCCTGCCATAATTGAAGGAAGTACACATTTACCATTCGTTTGCCCCAAGTCCTGCAAGCCAGAGTCCTGGCATGTTTTTACTCAAGCGCGCAATCGAAGTGCTGATCTATTGACTGTCATCCAAGCATCCGGCCAGGATGAGCGATGCCATACACAAGCATGGCCATAGCCTGACTAAACCTACAGCTGCTGCGCGCGAAGATACCCTGTACGACGAGATTATCAACAGCTTCCCCCGACATACTCAGCTCCTATCTGCCCAAGAGATTCCCTTATCAAAATGGACGCTCCTGGCGCGCCTGGTGGTGAAACAGCCCGACGACGAGCCTGCGATCTACTTTCTAAAATGTGCCGCCGGAGAAGCTGGCCAGGTGATGATCGAAGGCGAATTCCACTCAATGTCAGAGCTGTACAAAACCATGCCCGAACTGGTTCCAAAACCATACGCCTGCGGAACGTTGAAGACTCTACCGGTCAAGACGTATTATCTCCTGGTCGAATTCATCGGTATATCTGACGGCTTACCAGAGCCCAACCAGCTCTGTGCCAAGTTGGCCAGGCTACATGACACCAGCGTGTCACCGACAGGGAAATTCGGCTTTTACGTCCCGACATGCCAGGGTCGGATCCCTCAGGCCGTAGCCTGGGAGAGTAACTGGACTATCTACTTCACCAGCCTGCTCCGCCACGTCATTGCACTAGATGACGCAGAAAATGGTAGCTGGGACGCTCTCAGCGTACTCGAGGTTCGGCTTCTTGCTCATGTGGTCCCACGTCTCCTGGATAACCTCACCAAAGATGGTCGTGTGGTAAAACCTTCTCTTATTCATGGTGATCTTTGGGAAGGAAACACAGGGGTATCACTCCAGACGGGGAATATCTACCTCTTCGACGCAGCGGCCATGTATGCACACCACGAGCTTGAGATTGGGAACTGGAGGTGCAGCTACAACAAAATCCACAACGAGGTCTATACACAGACGTACCTCCGCTACAACCGGGCCAGCGAACCCACGGAAGAATGGGCCGATCGGAACCGGCTTTATTGCATCTACTATAATATACTATACTCGGTGAATCACAGGAGCCAGGGGCAGGCGGTGCGTCAAACGTGAGTGCTGCGCTCATCTGTACTTTTTACCTTCGACATAGATGGTCGCAAACTGATGACGCTTTTCATGGTACAGGGCTTTTGACGACATGTACTATCTGATTGACAAGTTCGCGCCCTTTCCCGAAGGCCAAGGACCTGCACGAATCAAAGATGCGGATAGAGCCGTTCTATCCGACGAGGGAGATCATACCAAAAGTTGAATTCTTCCTGAACAACAAACCAGTGAACACAAATGGGAAAAGAGTAGGGATGTGAAAGCAAGCAAAGAATGACAATACATTATCTATACTACCAGTCCAACTTCTTATCACCCCTCTGACTTTCCTCCCCACTACCCTGCACCGCCGCCCTGACAATGGACATCTCGGCCTCCTCTTTCCCCGCGCCCGTGAAGCGCTCCCAGATACCCTTGCCAAACTTGCGATAACTCTCGGCCACGCCGTTGTTGATGGTCAGGTTATATTCCATTTCGGACAACGTGAAGGGGAACGACTGGCCGGCGACCGTGATGGTCCGCGCGGGGATGTCCAGTGTGATCTCCTCGCCTTCCCGCGCGACGTCGTAGAAGGCCTCGTCCGCCATGGTCACTCCTAGCAGGCCGAGGCTGGGCTGGTTGCGGCCGTAGATGAAGGCGAATGAGCGGGCTATTACCGCCTGGACACCAACGCCTGTTCGAATCGCGTTAGACACAACATACCTCATATGTGAAATAGAAGCAGCCAAAGAAACAGGGCGAAATTGTCAAGAGGGGAGAGAAAGGGGAAAATCGCAGAGAAGGGGTATAAAATGGAAAAGGTGCACAATGAAAGAAGAGTATTCCAAAGGAAAATACCTTTCAAAGCACCCACGGCCATCTCGCGACTCGATCCAACCCCAAAGGCATGTCCGGCCACCACGACCTGCTGGCCTCCACGCACTTTGGCCCGGAACTCGGGGTGCGTGTGCTCGAGGACGTGTTCGCCAAAGTCTTCGTCGGTTACGCACGAAGTCAATGTGTGTCCTGGAGCCAGCTGTGCGCGGAAATTCACCCCGACGGAGGGAAGAAAACGTCAGCCTCGTCTTGTCTTGCTCGGCTTGTGCGAGCCAAATGGAGGGGGCCTGTTCCTGACTTACCGCGTCTGTGTCGATAAAGTCGCCTAGCGTGACGATCTTGCTGGAGATCTTGTCCAGTTTCCTCGGTGGCTGGTCTTCCGCATTCGGTGCTGGATCTATCGGTTTGGTGATTGTGCTGTTCGTCTTTGCGGCACTTGATGACCTGTCGAGGTCGGGCTCGACGTATTCGACAGGAACCATATCGACGTCCGAGAGAGGGCGGTATCGTTTGAAGAAATCCAAGTCCAGATCCTTGAGAAAGTCCGCGGGGCTGGTGATGGACATGCTGAAGCTCGAGGCTGCGCAGACCATGGCCGACGTGACATGGCCGAATGCGCCTATTCAGCGACCAACGAGCGAGAAGTTAGCCTCACGCAAATACACGGTACAGACCAGCAGACACCCTCCGATTTTTTGGAGGGATCAAAGGAAAGGCCAAGGGATAGGCAACTCACCCTTTCCCATACGGTTCTGGAAATTGCGATTCTGAGAGCTCAGCCACGTTTCCCCTTCATCAGCATGCTCGGCCGAGAGTCCGACACAGTATGAACAGCCCGGCGGACCGCGAGTGAAGCCCGCGGCCTCGTATATCTCGAGCAGTTTCAGGTCCTTTAGCTTCTCGACAATGGGCAACGATCCCGGCACGTAGTGTCTCTTGCCCTTGGTCAGGGGCAGTTTCCTGTCCAGGCCGACTTTGAGGACCAGCGCCGCGAGGACCAGCTCTTCCTCGGTGGTCGTGCAGGCGCCGATGAAGATTCCGTCGAGTGGCTTCCCGGCCATCTGCGAGACGGGGACCACGTCGTCCGGGTTCGGGTAGACGGCTACCGAGGACTCGACCTTGGACAGGTCGATGGTATATCTGCCTGCATACTCTGCATCGGCGTCTGGTTGGAAGTAGAGTGAGTTGACGCGGTTGGCCTTCCTCCGCCGGCGCGCAATGTATTCTCTTGTGATGCTGTCCGGCACGAAGATGCCCGTGATGGCACCGAACTCGGTGCACATGTTGGAGATGGCGAACCGGGCGTCGACGGAGAGATACTTGAGACCCTCGCCGGCGAACTCGACAATACGCTCCGCGGCGACGGTGTTGCGCTTGAGCTCGCCGAGGATGTAGAGGATGACGTCCTTGCCCGACATGCCAAAGGCCGGCTGGCCGACAAACTCGATGAGGATCGACTCGGGGATCTTGAACCACGTCTCCCCGAGGGTCAGCGTCATCATCACGTCGGCCGTGCCGAGTCCTATTGCCAGACAGCCGACGGCGCCGCCAGAGCAGGTGTGCGAGTCGGACCCGATGGCCAGCATGCCCGGCTCGACGCGTTCCCGGACGAACTCGGTGTGCATGATGGTGTAGTTCATGCCTTGATACTCGGTCATCTTGAACTCGTTCTTGGCCTGTTCCGCCACTTCGACCATGGCCTTGACCTTGGGCACCTGCGCCACCGCCGGGTGGACGACGTGGTCGCCGGCCAGCCAGAAGCGGTCGTTGCGCCAGATTGATGGAGAGCCCAGTCGTTTCCACGTCCGGGCCATACCCTGTTTTTGTTTTTCTCAGAGTCAGCTTTTGTTCTGTTCGGGATAGGAGACCCTCTCTCTAAGATAGGTGTTAGGAGTTGGAACCATACCCCCCACGACAATTCTGATGCCAGGATCCAGTCGATGCCAACCCTGACGACATCGCCAGCCGCCAGTCCTTTAGGGGGTTTCTCTCCAATGACATGCTGCGCGAAGATCTTCTGCGCGAGAGTCATCGGCCTCGTCCCCTCTGCAGGAGCGGTCCTGTACGAGAGAAAATCGGTAGCCCGTTCGCGTGAGTTGACGGCCTCGAGCCACGCCTCGACGAGGAAGAGCGCATCAGCCTGCTGCGCGGGAGTCGTAGTAGCGGCGCCGTCTTCTTCTTCGTCGCGCAGACCCAGTCCTCCAAAGGCTTTCTTGTCGAGTGCCTTTTCGCGCACTAGATCCAGGGCTTCGGCCTCGGGCTTGTACCCTGCGTCTCTAAGGGCGTCGGCATAGCGAAGTAAGACGCGGGGAATACTTTTAGGTGAACTTTCCGGGATGAGGGAGAGATTGAGGGTCGGCACGTCGACTTTCCTGATGCTGGAGAGGAGGTCGCGTAGTCTGCTCTCGAATTCATCTTGCAGGGTGTTTTGGGAGAGTGGTAGTGTTTCTGTGAGCGTTTCCATATTCTTTCTTTCTTGGTCTTTTGTGTTCAATCCGGACAGATGAAGATGACGAGCAGTCGTGGTCTATCCCAGCCAAGGTAATGTACTGTGTGCTATGTTCCGTCCTATATGCCGTGGCGGATAGCAATACTCTGTCCTTGGGTTAGTAGGTAAGGTAGGAGGGGCATATAATATCCCACGATCAGAGTCTAGGTCGTGACCCCGGATCAAAGTCCACAAACATTAACACGCATGCATATGTACCTACCTACCTACCCACCGACCGAGGAAGTTCATACATATACATACGCGCGTACCTCGTATATCTGACGCAGAACACCCCTCTCTCCCCTCTCTCACGAACAGATGCTGCCACAGTGGCAGCTACATGCCGACCGACCGGCCGGCCAGCCGGCCCTTGGAGGGGCTATAGGACCACGGCTCATGATTCAATAAATGGCTGGTTCATGATTGATGAATGGGTCATCATCTCCCCGACCGATGTCCCCACATGTGCTCGCCCGGCGTTGACAGTCAACCAACGAATGAAACGTGCCGAATTTCCAAGGTAAGGCCGATATCTGCTCCTCTCCTCCCTCTCCAAGTCCGGAATTCGGTGCGAAAATCGGACTAAAGCCCAAACATCGGAGTCGATCAAGCTTTCGGCCCCCCCCCCCCTCTCTCCTCCTCCGCATTTTTTGGTTTGGAGTACGTGCGGTACTTGCAGGCCTTGTACATGACTAGGCAGTGCTAGGTTCAATGGGAACGGGGACGGGTAATAACTAATAACTAACAAGACGAAGGAGAGAGAAAAGAAACGGGAAATGCCTCGGATCGGATTGATGAATGTACAAAAAGTATCCTTCCTGCTCGGTGGTCAACTAAATACCTATCCACCTACCGTGCTACTTACACCCCTACATCCATACATACATACATATTTAAGATCGAGGGCGGGGGAAAGCATTTTGCATCCACTATTGATTTGTTGGTCTTTGACACGGAATTGCGAGTTGACGTCCAGAACGGAATACAACTTGGTTGCCATTGCATTTACAATTCTATCTTCCCCTCCTCCAACCAAACAATACCCTTCCGGTCTGTTGTCTTCGACCCTCGCGACTCAATACTAGACTTCCGGCTCAAGACTCTCGAGTCGAAACTCCACGCTACAAAAAAATGGGTTCAGTCGGCGCCGACACCAAGACGACCAAAGCATGCTCGCCGCTCACGGGTGCCACGCGGCTGAGAGAAATGCTCAAAGACCCGACCAAGGTCGTCGTGTGTCCAGGCGTGTTTGACGGGTTCACGGCTCGGTTGGCCCTAGCGGCCGGGTATGATGCGATGTACATGGTACGTATATCACTTCCAACCAAGACAGGGGGATGGTGCGAAGAGGAAAAGAAACATCCCATGTCTGTGTGTGTGTGTGTGTGTGTCTCAATCACCGTGATACAATACGATACCACACACTCTGCTCGTCTCATCTATTGTCACTCTCATTATCTCGCTCACTCACACTCTCTTAGACCGGAGCAGGCACGTCCATGTCCCGACTCGGCTGGGCCGACCTGGGCATCGCGACGCTCAACGACATGAGAAGCAACGCCGAGATGATCGCGTCGCTGAACCCTTCCGTGCCCCTCATCGCCGACGCCGACACGGGCTACGGCGGCCCAATCATGGTCACGAGGACCGTGACGCAGTACGCTCGAGCCGGGGTCGCGGCGCTGCACATTGAAGATCAGGTCAGTCAGAAAATCTCCCCTCCCCCCCCCAACGACGAGGAAAAAGTTGCAACCAAATTTGAACCTTTCAAGTCTTTCCTCGGCGCGGGACAACATTTGACTGACTAACAAACCGGGATCGAAAAACAGGTACAAGAGAAGAGATGTGGCCATCTCCTCGGCAAGCAGATCGTGGACCGGGAGATTTACTTTAGTCGCCTGCGCGCGGCGGTGGCGGCGCGTGACAAGCTCCAATCGGACATCGTGCTGATCGCGCGGACGGACTCGCGCCAGACGTACGGCTTCGACGAGGCGATCGAGCGACTGCAAGAAGCGGTGCGGATCGGCGTGGACGCCGTGTTCCTCGAAGCCCTCCAGACGAAGGAAGAAATGGAGAAGGTGTGCCAGATCATGGGGGACACGCCGGTCCTGCTCAACGTCGTGCCCGGCGGCGTCACCCCGGAATTCACCATCGACGAGGCCAGCAAGATGGGCTTCCGCATCATCATCTACCCCGGCCTATGCATCGGGCCCCTCCTCGAGAGCGTGCGCGACGAGCTCAAGGTCCTCCAGACCACCGGCAAGACCACCCCGAGAAGTTCGGCCAGCGGCGTCAAGGAGTCGTTCAACTTGTGCGGCCTGCAGGAGTGTATCGAGATCGACAGGGAAGCGGGAGGACAGGCGTATGCCACGGTGGGGAAGTAGGCAAGCTCAAACTCCCGTGGCGAGCCAGCCAGCGAGCGAGCGTGATTGATGGCTAAAAGCGCGTCACTTCCTGTGTCGTCGATCGCGCTCTTTGGTTCGTTTCGTGCTGCCGTGGCGTGAGCAGAAATGAATGGGCAAACATTGGGAAGAGTCGGTGTATTAGCAAAAACCGTACTAGAACGAACATTGGAACTTGCAAAACAGGGTCTGACAAAATGCTTGCTCATGTTGGAATTTTCGGGTATCGCATTGCTCATTAATTTGCTAGTCTTGTGAAATCCGATGAACCACCACCCAAGGTTCGAGTCCTCGTCTCTGTTACCTCGACCGTTGAAGTCTGCCGAATGGTCACTGTGGTTCTGGTCAACGAGTCGAGTAACAAGGTTCTCGTAGTTGGCATCGTCACCAGCACAGTCACTGTTTGCTCCGATGTAGTCGCTGCACTGACACCTCCGAGCTGATGACGACTGATCGCTGATGAAGTTAGCACTGTGGTGGTAGTAAGAGTCGATTCAAAGGACAATGTGGTGATGCCTGTGTACGTTCCAGATGTGACCACGGCGGGCTAAACCCCTGTCAGTTGCGAATGTAGACGATGGATTGGCTTCAACTTACCCCTGAGAATGAAGCCACACTGGTCCCAGTGCTGGTGCTCGTGATCGTCACCACATCCCAGCTTTCGCTCGAGGTAACGCAATCCCACCCGCTTGATCGAGGAAGACAATCTTGGACTTGAACGACGTTGGGAACAGGATTCTGAACAAGGTCATACCAATGGGCAGCATAGAACGCCATGGGCTCATTCGCTTCCGCAGGTGAAAGGGAAGGACTTGAGAAACTCGATCCAGCCATCGTAGAGCAGGCATCCAGTCTCTGACTGGAGAACGTGACGTATTGACCGCAATCCGTAATGGGAACAGGTATCATTCCAGCCCGCTGCACAGTAGTACTGCACCATGTCGTGGTTTTTGCACTGTACAATGTCTGGCATCCATTCTTGTCCAAAACTATCCGTGCTGTTTCGGCTCCGCTGGGCTCGATGGGAGGTATTGTCGCTAAAGCCGTCGGCGGTACGCGAGCCCTGCTGGTAGATAAGAAGACTGTTGTGCTTCCGTTCGGTAGAAGAGCAGTGGCATTCACTCGGACTGGGATGTAACTTGAGCTATTGGTAATCGAGCCTTGCGTCTTGTTGGCTCCTAACGAAGACAGGGGTAGGACTGAAAATATTGCTGACGAAGCTGGCGTGTCGGGACATACCGTCGCAATCGGTTCCTGAATCACCGTCGTGGGAAAGACATAGGACGAGATTGTGGGCAGAGTCGACGGAGTAAATGGGGTAGTGGCGACAGGAGCTGGGGTTGCTAGCACTCCCAACCCTTGGATGGGCGAGCTGGGGAGTTGTCGAGGCTCTTTAGGATGGAAATGGGCTCGTCCCTCGTGTTGTTTTATCGAAGAAATTGGGGCCGCCAGGGCGATCAGCAGTAGTAGGACCTCCATATCTGGAGCACAAAACCAAGTCTAATCTCACTGGAAAAGGGGGAAATGGTTTACCTTCGCCAGCGAAGATAGGACTCACAGTTGGGATTTTATGTCCCAGAATGGTGGCAGAAAAGATTGTTCGAGTGGCAGGGCATTTCAATTACAAATGTCCAGACCGCGTATGGTGGAATGCCAAGTCAATCGCGGTTGGTATGTGGATGGCTGCCCCTTTTGTCCTCTGGCTCCCTGGGACGCGATGCGCGTTGCATTCCTGCAGTCTGGAACTTGTCTCGGCTCGATATCTCAATTCAACCTGGGTCCTTGACCGGACGGGCCACCTTGGTGCTGTTGACCCTGGTCTTCATGGTACGCATTGCTCATAAACTCGATCTCAGCGTCGGTGGGCTGTTGGAAATGTAAAGAGGGATCGTTCAATAGCAGATCCGGGGGGAAATATTGGTCGTACCGCATCATTGGGTCGAACGCGGCAAATGCTTGCACACTTGGAAGCTCAGGCATTGTGTTGTAGATAGAAGGCGCGCTTGGAGCCGACACATACATGTTCTGGGACAGAGGATTGCTGACCGCAGAGTAATTTGCCATGGAAACATCGTGCCGTGGAGGAGAAGGCCTGCCTGGAAGATCGTGTGGCAAGTCGTCGACATCACGCCCAATCTTTTTGACTGCTTCCCCAAACAGCGAGAAACATATTGTCCAGGCACGCCTGGCCGACACATTGTCTTCTGCTAGTGCATGCAGCCAACGGATGCCTTTCTTGCATGATTTCAGTATAGCTTCTGCTTCTTCCGGCATGTGGTTGGCTCGGAATGAGATTTCAAGCATCAGAACTGTCGTGGCTTGGACTAGCCAATGCACAATGTTCCACCAAGGGCCGACTCGAATCAGCCCGACGGCATTGGGTTTATCAGGGATGAGCTGCAGCATATCCATTGCAGCCTCGACGCAAGAGGCGGCAGAATTGCGGTTGAATTCGAGTGATTTGCTTGATTGCCCTGGGATCTTTCGGTCAAGTCGACAGAGACAGGGTCGATGGATAGTCATCTTGGTGCTGTAGTAGAAGAAACCCAAATTCAAGCGGAATTCGTAGGA